CCAGCCGGTTCCAGTGCTTAGCAACCCTTCCAGTGAAGAATTTTTTTCCTAATATCCAAACTAAACCTCCCCCTGGCACAACTTGAGGCCTTTTCCTCTTCTTCTATCACTTTTTGCTTGGAAGAAGAGACCTACCTCCACCTCTCTACAGCCTCCTTTCAGGGATTGTAGAGGATCATAATGTCTCCCCTGAGCCTCCTTTGCTCCAGGCTCAGCACCCCCAGCTCCCTCAGCTGCTCCTCCCCACATTTGGTCTCTAGACCCTTCCCCAGCTCCGTTGCCCTTCTCTGGACCCGCTCCAGCCCCTCAAGGTCCTTCCTGAAGTGAGGGACCCAAACTGAACCCAGTATTTGAGGTGCAGCCTCACCAGTGCCATGTACGGGGGACAATCCCTGCCCTAGTTCTGCTAGCCACACTATTTCTGTTACAAGCCAGGATGTCATCTTGGATGACTCTGAGAAGCTCACCTGCAGATCCGGGTAGCTGGGTCACCTCCTTGTGCCATCCAGCATCTCTGTTTACAGCATGGTGCCACCCACCCTGCCAGGCCAGGCAGGCTGCACTGGGCAGCCCGTGGAGAGGGAGAACTGGAGCTGCCCGGGCTGCAGCTTGTGCTGCAGGTCCTGCCTGCCAATGCAAGGCCTGCAAAGCAGGCAGCACAAAGAGGGGTGGTGCAAACGGCACCCAAAGCAAGGCATTAGGAAGGAGGTGAGCACTGGACTCGTCCTGTCCAGCCCAGCCAGAAGCAACAGGCCTGCAGCAGAAATCCCAAGTGGTTTTGGCCTGGGTTGTCTAGGAAATTATAAAAGGTTGACCACAATTAACATCACTTTTTTGGAAATGAAGAGGTAACACACCTGAGGAGTTCATTTCTGCTCTGGAGTTTGTATTTTCATGAAAGCTGACACTGAAATAATCTCAGCTGAACCTGCTAGGACAGACTGCCAAGACAGCCCTCACGGGGACCCTCCAGTCCCTGCATTTCTGTAACACCAGCTCTCCTGCTCCAGTTTAAATCAGCAGCCCCTTTCCCAGTGACCTGCACAGCTCTCCTCCTCTCTCCTCTTTGCGTTAAGTGCCAAGTGCTTCTTAAAGAGAAGCTGCTCCTGGGAAACCTCTGCAAAAATTGCTAAGGTCGACCACCCTGCACCTGTGGGCTGGATGTAGGTCTCCACTTGTAGCTGGGACACTGTAGGCCACAATGGTGTGTCACACAGCCTGCACTCCTGACAGCCCCAACTGTCTATGTCTGTTTTGGGGGTCAGCTACTTTTACTCCAAGGAATAAATCCCACTGCCAATTCCTCACTTGCCTACAACCTGCTCACCAATCCATCTGCTCTTCTGCAGGTGCAGAGCAAGCAAAGCTCCTCCAGGTGTCAGACAGCCCATCACCACAGTGCTGACAGCCCAGCCAGGGCTCTCCCACCTGCAACACAAGTCCTGCCATTTACTTTTTGACCAGCTTGCCATACTGCCCAGGCATAACCACCAAAAGCACAGGATTTTAACAGTGCTTGAATTGTGCAGGGAACAAGGACACCAACCGGCAACCCAAAGTGTGGCTGAAGTGATCCAGCCACTCCTACAGGAGCATCCACAGGCTCATTGCTACAGGGCAGAGAAGGGACACAGAGAAATATTCCTGAACTCTGTAACAGGACTCACTGGGAGCCCTTCACAAAGAAAACCTAAGCTCAGGAAGGACAGGAGATCAAAGGCTGTCTTGGTTTTTAGAGTGTTTGTGCTGCACTAACTGCAGCAGAGAGCTCCCAGCAGATCTGTAACCCACCTGGCAGAGCTGCTCTTGGTCTGCAAGAGGTGTAAGAAGTCACCACCCACTTGTCCAAGCTCCTGAGGTCAGCAGCAGCAGGGCTCCAGGCAACAGCACCCACTGCCACGGGGCAGCACCGGCCACCTCAGGACTCTGCCCTCGGTTCCGAGGGGGAGCATCTCCTCCTGCCAGCCACGCTTCGAGGATTGACTTAATCCAGGCATTAAACAATAAACACAGTCCTTACAGCCCAGGCAGGGGCCACTGGTGACTGACCTACAGCAGCAAAGAAAACTGCTCCCCTGTGCACAACACCGCACTGCCCCGGGCCAGACCAGCACTGAACAAATGCACACGGGAGATAGTTCAGCTTTTATTTGCAAATTCATCTGTACATTCTCGCTTGGTTCTTGAGTGACAGCTGCCAGGAGCTGTCAGCAGCAGGGGGCAGCAGCAACTAGGAGTTAACAGAAGCTTTCCACGGAGCCTGGAAACGAGAGACAGCAGAGGAAACAAAACCCCGCTCCATTTAACCTTTTCTGAGTAAGGGAATCCGAAATCGAGTAATCTTTATCACCTTCAGAAAGGTGTTGGATTTACAGTCCCATGCGTTCAGCATAACGATCTCGGGCTGAAGTGACTCTCTGCAGAACAGCTTGAAAACTATCCCAGGCTTGCCTTTTTTTTTTATTTTTAAAGCCAGCACCTTAAAGCTGCAGTAGTCTCCATGCATCCTTCCCAGCAGCCCCAAAGCCAAATAACAAAAGAAGCCCTTGCAAATAAATAACCATAGGAAAATAAATAAGGTTAGATCTGGAATATACAGTTACATGGTCTTTATTTGGTTTCAGAGATGGAAAAAGTGGAGCTAGACTGCAGCTTTAAGCCTCACGCCTGAATCCACCTCAGACGCTGTGTACACGTTACAGCCGATGGGCTGGACAGGTCAGAGAGCCCGAGTTCCACCGAGCTGAACGTTGAGGCACATACGCACACCCTGCCCCGAGGCATACTTTATTTTGCTCAGCCAGTTAGAGAAGAGCTTGCTGGGGGCAGTGCCCCCTCTCCCAGGGAACAGACAGGGCTGAAGACCTATTTACTGTCACGGTAAAAAGGTTCCAACAAATATCCAACCCCACCCACGTTTGCAAGGGGAAACTGGTTCAAACCACACACCAGGAAGACAATCAATCCTCTCTCAGGGGATCCTTGAACCTCGCTGGCACCACGGAATCCTCGAGCAGATGCAGCCAGGGGCAGGACTGCCAGCTGCCCAGTGCCCTCTGCGCTCGGAGCCTGGCCGTGGAAAGTCGTAAGTCCATTATTTCTACTTAAGCCAGAAATCCTGTTAATGCCCTTTAGAGGCAGCTCTACAGCAAGAGCTCTTGCTCTGCTCTCCGTTCGGGGTTCGTGCCCCCTCCCCAGGAACTCCCACAGAGCAGAGCCAAGCAATCCCCTGCCAGGCAGCGTCCGCGGTGCCTCCGTGGGGAGGTGAGGGATCCAGGCCGGGGCAGGGGGGGAGGGCTGCAGGTGGAGGAGGAAGTTAGAGACAAACTCAACACCACCGAGACACAAGGAGGAGCTCGAAGCCCCTCAGCAGCTGATAGCACTGGGTTGCTGTTTGCTAACAAAGTCTGAAATGAAGTCGAACTCGTTCTGTCCCAAGAATAGCTCCGGCAGCTCCTGAATCCGGTCCAAGCCCAGTTCCAGGACAAGGGATGTCAAGACCTCCTCATCTATGAGATCGGTGTCCATAACATTCAAGGTCAGCGCTGGCGAGGGCATGTGCTGCATGGCCGGGTGCTGGTTTGGCCCCACTCTGTACTGCTGGGCCCCGGCTCCCAGGGGCCCGTTGCTCATGCCCAGCGGGTGACCCTGGTACTGGGTGTTGAGTTTCTGTAGATGCATGCTGGCCATGAGCTGCTGGGTGCCCACCGGCCCCACGTACTGCTGCTGCTGCCCCGGGCCGTTGAACATCATCGCGTTCTGCATCTGGTGGTGCCCCATCTG